TAAAAAAACTTCTGAGATCAATTAGATAGCCCAGGTAAAGCTATTTCACCACAGTACCTGGCACATAGTTTTCAATAAGCGGTAGCTATTTTTTGTCATTGTAATAACTCACTGGTCCCAAAATACAATATATGCATTCCCAAATTCATACCTTTGCTCATATTACTTCCTCCACCTTACTGGCCCTCAACTCCTCCATTTCCCCAACTCTGTACTGTGTAAATCAAAATTATCACAAAAAATGTTTCCCCAAATACTACTCTGTGAACTATCTCAACTGTATATTTCTTCTGGTCTGAAGAAGTGCTTCTCTTAGATTCCCTGTTTTGCCCGGAAAGCTTTCCTGCCTTAAAAACAGAGACTGCCAAATAAATATGTATAGGCTGATTAAGTCCCAGCACCCTAATAAAGGTACTTCAAAGGAAAAACATGGTGGAGGGGAGGGGAGCAGCTGTCTTAGGATTTGCTGCATTCTTTGTAATCCTCTAGGCAGCTGCACTTCATTCTAAAGACATTAAATATTTTCCATAAAAATATCCAAAAGGAAGGTGGGTAGGAAGGAGTGAGTGATAAGGATACATCAGCGGACAGCTCACTTCAGGAAACATCTTTTAGAGTCTGTCTTCCAAGGAAGTCAGTTTGACCTGGTATCCTCTCATCCAGCACACAAAAAAAACAGGTCCTCCAGGAGTCACCAGGCTGGCACAAAGTAAGTGTTTGATAAATGCTGACTGACTCTGAACAAGAAGACCAAAGCAACTACTCAGAGTATTCTGTCTGTTCAAGGCAAGGGAGAGGCAGATACTCTCATCACCTCCCTTTCAGTTTTCCAGTTAACCATTTGCTGAGGATGCCACAGCTGGCACCCCCACCCAAAAGCCATGAAAGCAAATCTCTCATATGAGTCACAAAGAATGCATGATCAAACAACTGACTTCAAGTCAGCCCCTCCATCATCTGCTGTGGCTGACATACATTAGTGAGCTAGAAAAAGGCACAATCCACATGCTATCACTTTACACTAAACAAAGTCTCCCATTTTAAAAGAAAATCCTTACTAGTTATCTAATTTAAAATTCCATCATTTTATCTATCAGAGGCCAGAACAAAGTACAGTTTTTTCATTACATAAAAAAAATCCTCATTCAAGAAAAAATTGGGAAAAAGACAAAAGAACCAGCCAGAAAAAGAGAAAAATAGAAAACAATCAGCAATAAGATCACTACTCTAAAACAGTACCTATCAATATTTTGGTTCTTTACCTTTCAGGGTTTTTTGTGGTAGTTGTTAAGAATAAGATGTTTTGCATAATTGTACTCATATTGTATATACTAGTCATACTTGCAGCTTGTGTTAAATTATATCATAAGCATTTCTCCATTTTTTCTTCTTCTTAACCTTGTGTAATTTCACAGAGTAGCTGATAGAAAGGTTTTTTAAATCACATCAGTCAAGAATTACCATTCTCTGTCTTCCACAGAAACTACTATAGTAAAAACAGAATTTCCAAAAGTTCCTGGAGCCACAGAAACTAAGATGAAATAGATAAAAAATGCTCACATAGGAAGTGTGCGAGAAGTGTTAACTGACTTTCAAGTGACAAAAAGAATATTTACTATAGCCATCTCTAGAAAGATACAAAAATTAAATTCAGCCACTATTCCCAATGAACTTTTCATATCATTAGAAAATAAAATCCATTTACATCCAACAACTAAAGCCCAACATTATCAGCAACCAAACATCCTAGCTCTTCCAGGCTGGGAGTGTTTTACTCATTTCTGCATACCTAGCATGAAGAACAGTGCCCAGCATGTTACAGATACCTAATAAAAGTCTGTCATACTGAAATGAGCTGCAGACCAAGAGCTATGCTTACTTAAAGAGAGGAAGGATCAATATGACCTGACATTAATGTAGGCAAAGCACACAGCATGAACATGGCAGAACTGTTTTTGGCAGATTATGATCAGCAGAAAGAATGCTCAACCACAGAAGCCTTGGGATACTCTGAACATGAAAGATGACATAAGAAAAAATGTTTGTGTAGTCTTTTTTATAAGTTTGATGTTTCTGCACAACCAGCATTAAAACTGTTTAGCATTCAGAGAGTATATACAGAAGACATGAATTCTGCATTCAGCCCTAAAAGCATCAGATTTATACCACCTGATTATAAACATATCTTTAAAAAGAGAATCCAACTTCAAAACTAGGGTGTCACTCAGATGACTCTATACATCCTAACTTCATTCACACATATATTTTGCTTTCTTTTACCCCACTTGTGCTTTGAAAAATTCAAAGAATTTATGGAGAAGGAATTTATTAATATCACATCTCTAACAGCTGCTAGTTGGATGTCCTAAATTCATGGCTTCTTCAGTTACACTATGTGGCCATCTCAGAAAGTGTGCTTAGTGCAAATCTTGTTTCTTTGAAGAGAACTGATTTAAGCCTACCCTACTGGACTGACTTAGGAGCAAGTTACACAGAACTCAGGGGTCGGGTGTACGATAATTCTGTCTGCATGTAATACTGTAATTACTTATAATTAAGTATCTCTAATAGCCATCCATTCAGTCTCCTAGACTTAAGCACTCAAGAACAAATGCCTCTCAACCAGTGATTTGGGAATGTACAGCTGATTTGAAGCATTGCATACTTCAGGACAGGTGTCCTTTGTTTTTCTGAACACATCTGATAGTGATTATATCTGTTAGGTGACCTAAAAGAATTCAAACAACATACAAGAATAGGCCATGCTAAAAAATGTTACAGGAGGCCAAACAAATGCAAATGAAAAATTTAGAAATTTATTCTCAAAATTGCCTGTAAATTTTGATTCCGATTTTGCTAAGCTTCAGCACAAATTATCAGGAATACAAACTGTCACTGTTTTAATTCTAAATGAAGCACTTCTTTCAAGGACATCAAAAGATTTGGAAACCCCACAGTAATCACTACATAAGCACTCAAAAAAGACATGTGGTATAACATTTGCAAAGCTGAATTTCAGCACCTGTCACCAATTCAACAAAAGAACATTTTATATACAAACCACATAACTTTGAACATTTCATAATTTGGTTAAACTGATCGATACAAAGAACTCCACTGTCAAATGGGATAATACAAATAACCAAAAACTGGATTAACACAAATGAAGATTTCCAAATCTAAGATGCATGGGAACACCCTGAGCAAGTAACTGAATCTGTGTTTCTTCCTTCATCCACAAAATGAGCAAAATAATAAAACCTCTTAGAGTTGCTATCAATATTAAATGAATTAATACATACTAGATTCTTTGCAATAAAGAAGGCATCATCAGGAACCAAAAATTTTTAAATAAAAATGCTGAAAAGTAATAATAAATGAAAAGAATAATCATGAAAATAAAAGACACACCTGTCATGACCCGGGGAAGAAAAAAGTTTTCAAGGTATTACAGTATGTTTAGAATATAAACAAAATAAAGAAAAGAGAGCTCCCTACTAAAAAAGATAGCTACATCCCTTCAGAGTGGAATAACACATCCTATCACCTCGATTCTTTGTCATTAGTCCTATTTTGCAAAATTTGCTTCTTCCTCCTAAGCTGTGCAGCTGCAGATATCAAGAAAGCCATAAGACTAGCCCCTCCTGAAGAGCAAAACAGAAGTTGAGGTAAGTGAAATCCTTAGCATCTTCTAGTTTTATTAACAAACCACCAAGTTGAAACTCACTCCTGAACTAAATTGCCAAATGTTTCTGCAATAAAAACTGCAAACTTTCATGTGAACAGACCTCTTCAACAATAGAGAGTTGTTCCAGTCTGTGAATAGGACAGTGTCAGTGTGACCAACAAAGACAGGAGCTGGACATTCCTGACACCCTTGTCCCCTGGCTAGTCTTTGATCAGTTATATATCCCAACCACATATGTTTTTGGAAATCACTTTTGGGCAAAGTATATGGACTACATCTATACCATGAAACTTACCCTTCACCACCGAGCCGTTTCCACAACTTCTGTCCCAGACCCATACTTTTTAATACCATCATTATGAACAAGAATGAGCATCAAACACAAGATTGCTTTGTTTTCCTAGTCCGTCCACCCCCACTCCCAGTCACATCATGTTTTAATTTGTATATTCTGGAAAGCATGGAATGACAGTGGTAACTAAGCCAAACAATAAAATGCCCTAAGGACTGAAAAAGGACCTAGTCTGGTTACCTGGGAATGACCACCAGACCAGGAGAAATGTGACTAGTGTGTTAGGTAAATGGGTTTGGGTTTTCTGGACTACTTGGAATGCAGCCTTGGGAAAGACACTGAAAATGGGTTAAAACCCCTCTCAAACTTGTAAGGACTACATGTAATAATGATTTCAAATTGCTGAGTACATAGTATATGCTCACTGAATAGAAGCTATTTTAGACTTTTTGTCCAACTCACATGAGACACACGCATCCCATGAAAATTCCAGACACTGGGAAAGACAAAACTCCCAAGTTTATCAGTGCGTCCTGATGAAATGGTCCAGATGCTATTTTAGGCAAATGGGCTGCGGGGGTCTCCGAGGCCCGGCTGGGGACAGAAAAGGTACTTGAGATCTGTGCCGTTCTACTTCCTAGAAAGTAAAGTTGGGTTTGGCCGATTCGACTCCTTTGTTTACACAAGAGGCAAATGAACGAAGACCCCCGACGACCCGCGGCCAAGAAGCCAGGCGGGCCCAGGGCTATGCCTCGCCGTCTTGGTCGGCGCCCCGCCCCTGGCCCCAGCGGCTCGCCCACGCCCAAGCCGCCAGGCCCCCGCAGGCCCTCCCGCCCCCCGGGACTCCCCCGAGGCCGGGATGAGACCCCCCTCCAGCGAGCCAGGCCGGGCGTCGCAGTCCCCCGGACCAATACCCCAGCCCCGTAGCTGGGACCGCTACTCCCGCCTGCACCGGTTCCAGCGACCTCTGCTCCCACAGCCCCAGACTCAGTCCCCCAAAGGAGAAACGCCCAGGCTCACCCCCGCAGAGCAGCAGTAGGAAAAAGGCGGGCAGCCGGACGCAAGGCCGGAGTCCGTGCTGCCGACTCAGCGCCATGTCCGGGGAGTTGAGGGGCCGCGGACGCGCGGCGGAGAGAAGCTCTCCGCGCGCATGCGCCCAGCCGGCTGGCAGCTGCTACCCGCCCCTAGTCACCATAGCGACCACCAGGCCCGGCGAGCCATCACTATGGAGACAAAGGAAGCTGAAATCCGGTTGCTATGTATGCAAGGATGCTCTGGACCAAGCACGGGGTCTCTCTTTCGGTGAATTTGGTGGAGGAGGTAAAGAAGTATGTTCAAGAGCGGGGCAACGTAAATTTTCATGGGTATAAAATAAATCTGCTACTAGAGATCTGAAAAGGAACACTCAAAATTTGAAAAATAAAGTGTTTATTTTACAAATTAGGATGCAGCTCAGTTATCCTGCAAGCGTTATTGCCTACACCTATTTGGAGGCCCCTATTCCAAATGTGATGGATGCAGAAAGCTTTGACATCTGTTTGAAACATAAGTTAGATATGCATTTTGCAGTACATAAAAGTGATGTCTTTCTAAAATAAATGTATTTGATAACTTCTGAGTAGATCAAACATATAGTGATATACCCAATACTTTACTCTGAAGAAAGACAGGCTAATTCTTTGCTCTGATTTCTGAATATTGGGGAATAGTAAGGCTAGGGAAGAAAAATGGAGCAGAATCTTATGAGTGCAAGCAGATAAAATGAAAAGAAGGATAAAATGTTCTGGAAATTGGACCTAAGAATGCAGGAGGTTTTTAATCCTTTCATTTAATACTATGGAAAATTATTAATATAGCTGTATTATATCAAATATACAAAACGCATCCCTAATGCTGCAGGTAACAACAGAGTAAAACCAGAATTCTAAGTATAGTTATTAGAAAACTGTGCCAGAGTTTCCAACTACTATTACTTATTAATGTTTAACTTAAGGACTTCATTTTTTGTGCAGCCACTCTACATTTTCTTACTATACAATATTTTTAGTTTTTACAAATGGAATAGTGTGTGTATATGTGTGTATGTACATACATACTTTACATATATACAAAATTATGAATGCAAACATAAACATGAAATAGATTAAGGTTGTTGCCCAGGATATGCTTCAACTGCTGTCATTATATGATCTTCTTTATAAGTCTGTAAAACTGCTCAAACACTTTGCAAATGTGAATTAATTATTCCCCCCAAATCTCATAAAGACAGTATAAAAATTTTAAAGTAGTTCAATCACCTATTTGATTCTACTAGCCTTTTCTGCTCCAATTCACCATACTCCAAAGTCACAAGTAAAAGTTCATGAAAAGAGCATACATAGTGGTGGCCTCTCTCCCTTCATCAAACACAAAATAGAGTAATGTTTGGAAAAGAAATATTCTTCTTAGACACACTGGTTTTTTTCCTTTTACTCTTTATTTTCTCCATCATTTCCCATAGTTTCTGGTTATACAGCCAGGCATATTTGCCTAATTGGAGGAACAATTTTGGCTACCTGGGAAATGTGAGATGGTGTCTGACTGTGGGCAGAGTACAGTATTCAGAAACCAGTGCTACTTTTCTCCTGATGTATTTCCTGTGTTTGCTCTGGAAAACGGTTCTGTCTGTTAAACAGTCTTCTCTGCTAAGGAGTCTTTTGAAACAGAACAAGATCATGGAGAAAGCCTGCATGAATATTCTATATGGAGCAGAGGTTCCTACAAGAGAAAGATAAAATATTCTGGAAATTGGACCTATGGATGCAGGAGGTTTATAGGTGCTTCATTTTAAAGCATTGATTTCCCTCCACAGATAGAGTCTACATGTCATGACTGGTGGCTGAAACATGATCTTGGGATGGTACCTAACTTGTGATTCACTAGGACAGGGTAGGATGCATTCGGCTGTCAAATAAGCTGCTCTTCCTTATGATTTCATTGTTTCCTAGAGAGCTGTGGCCGTGTTCCGAAGGAAGCAGTGCTCTAGAAGCATTCGGTGAGTGGGGCTGCGAAGTCTATGTTTCTATCATCATATCATCCAGGTGAATATGCTTTTTTCTAATTCTTTCTTTATGCTTTTATCACCACATCATCCAGGTGAATATTATTTTTTCTAATGCTTTTTTTCTACACTTTCTTACTAAGGAGAGATGCATTTCTTAGAAGAGTTCAGGGAATTAATATGCATATGAAAGCATTTGCAATACTTTTCAATACCAACACAAAGTGCAAATCAAGTAGCCAACAAAGAGTGGGGGTTTCCTGTGAGAACCACCCCTGAACAGACTGAAGAGTCCAGGAATCAGCAGTTATGGGAAAAGGAACATGGGTTCTGGAGTCTGATGGATGATTCAAGTCACTAGTTTTTGTAAACTTGGGAAAATTACTTAACTTCTCTACCTTGGATTCCTTGTCTGTAAAATGGGGATAACAGTACCCACCTCAAATAGTCAACAGTGAGATAAAGATCTGGAAATACTAGGTGCCCATAAATATTTGTTTGCCTGTGCCCCATCTCTTTACTACTATTTGGTTCAGATCAGGCAAAATGGTTTCAATATTCCTGGAGAGTCTTAATAAAGAAAAGGAAATTCAGCCTGCAGATGGGTCAGAGGAAATGAGAAGCAAAGAGGGAGTTTTACATCAATTGTGTATTCATACTCTTGGTGTGACTATTTTCTTAGAAAGTAACAGGACTATGGCTTCTGTTCCTTCACTATGTCATTAGTTGCCTGAAGTCAACCCTCACAGCATGAGAGAAGTGAGAGCCATTGACTGAGTGAAGTCTCTGACCCCAGAGTGTTCCATTAAAGTACTCTCCTTCAGGGCTTATCAAAGATTCTCTTGCTCCATTTCCCCTCCCCTTAAACCCCCAGTTACTTGAAATATTTCTAACTCTGTTCTCTCACATTTTATCCCAACTGTTCATCTTCTGCTCTTTCTCTGCAAAGTATCTCTTTAATTTTATTTAAATAAAAGGACACCTCCCCCGAGTCTAAGGAAACAGTAGCAGACAAAACCTCCATCCCCCTAACAAGACATGCTGCTTATGCTATTTAAGCAAAGAAAGTTCTTCTGCAGCTTGATTTACTTGCATCGTCTTCTCTTTGTAGTGGTTGAATTGAAAAAGATCATATTAATGCCAAACTTTTGGCTTAAAGTGGTTTCCTAGAGAGAGACCTTTATAAGAGAACTTATTCAGCAGGCCTTTCACATTGTACCAAAAGAAAGCTGTGTGTCCATGTGCTAGAGTGTGTTAGTGTGTGTGTCTAAGTGAACATATCATACATGCCATGGGTGAAAGCCACCCACCTTTGACAGAGAGGAGTTAATGTGTCCCACTTGTGTCACCACCTAGCAGTGTACATGGAAACACCTCATGACAACCAACAGGTAGTGGATAATTATATGCCCACACACTTGTCAGTAAGCCTGGCACAGATGGGCTTCTCTGTGGCTGAAGGCCCTCAGATTATGAATCTCATGTTCCCTTGTCAGGGTATATGCCTCAGTTCCTTCTTTGAGGAAGTAGAGAAGCAGGTCTTGAAACCCCTGCAGATGCCAGGGAAAGGGTGTCAGGGACAACTAGTCAACAACATACCCCAGACTGCCTTCTGGAAGGATTCCTGTGGGGAGATAAAACAGACCAGCTCTGTTTTCTCCTTCACTTGACCTGATGACTATTTCCACTAGCCTGTGGAGAAGGTGAGAACCTTTTCCTAATCTGTGACTTGGGGCTGGGGACATGGAATAGCATGAGCATGAAGGACATGCATGCTAGCCCAACTGTCTTAGCCAAGGAGCCCCTGCTGCTCTATGAGGCCGTGCACAAGAAAATTCTGGGCAGACGTGAGGCAGCTCCTAACTAATGGCAGACGTACCTGCACTGTGATACTCAAGTGTGTGCCTCCAGGATGCTCCAACTACTTGGTTTACAGACTGGAGGTATTTTAATCCCAACCCTCCAATTTCAGGTAATTTTTCTCTTTACACAAATTGTACCATCCAGTGATTACTTCCTGGCCACACCAGAGAGAGACCAGGGCTGCTACTGTCCTCCCTCCTCTGCTGCAGAGAGCCTTGAAATTATCTCAGCTTCCTTTCAGGGATCAACCTCCTGCTTTAGGGTTTAGGGAAGGGGAAAATTCTTCCTGAGGGCTCTGGGCCCAGTTTGGCCTGGTACCTTGCACCCTCATTCCTTCCCAGAGATGGAAGGGTATTTTGTGGTTGCCATTGCAGAGATTCTGGATATCCTGCCCCAGGACTATAAATAATGGGGATTTGATTCCATGTCCCAGACCCCTAATGTAATGAGGATATACCACATGCCTTTTTCCTCCCTATAGATTATTCAACACCATGCCTCTGAAGCAAATGGATTAGGTCTCTGGATAAGACTCTACAGTTTCTCTTTGATCCCATAGAATTGTATTCCCACAAAATGTAGGATTGGAAGGAGTGGATGTGTTTGGTTCTCTGAGGTGATGTCAGATTCTCCAAACCAGCAGAGACTTTTTCCTCCCATAGGGATGGCCACTTTTAGCCCTACAAAGGATGGAGAAGTTGAAAGGCCTCCCCCGAGAAGACCTGCACTTCTGCACCTTACATTCTGAGGTCTTGCCTTAGTCCAGTCATTCTTTCAGGCAATATTTTGTTTACTGGCCAGACATTGTTCCCTAGAATTGCACTGTCCAGTGTATGCAGGCCAAGCACTAGCTCCTGCTGTAGAAAGGACAGATCATGGGAGGGACAGGGGACTCTGCTAAGCATTAACATACTCCTTGTGCCATCCCCGGAGGGATGGCCACCCCACTGCCACCAGCCTAGTGCAAGCTTCATCCTTTCTCCATTTGGATTGTTAAAATGGTCTGTAGATACCTGCCTATATCTTCTGTCTCTAGATATTTCTTTTCAAAATTGTTAGTGGTACAGAACCTAGGTGCTCAATAAATATCTATGGAATAAATGTAGGTAAGTCTCCTGCATCCTGCAGAACCAACATCAGCTCACGCAGTTTTGCTTAAAATTCTTAAGTGGCTTCTTATTACCTTCAGAAATTAGTTAAAATCTTTTATATAACTGAAGAACTCTTGGCTAGAAAAAGTAGTTCCTTT